CTAAGAGAAGCCAATCCCGAGTTTGGGTTCCCTTTAGAGGTACATGTCTGTCAGCGGGGCACTGCTCAGGTGCTCAGGAACCCACAGGTCTTCCTCACGCCGGCCTCCCGCACCCACTTGTTCCCACTCTCCGGACTCACCAGCAGCAGATGGCTCTTCTCCGTTCTGAAACGCCAAAAGGGAAAGCCGAAACTCCCACAAGGGTCTCTCTACACAGCGTGGCACAGGACTCAGGATGTGTTTCTTCTTCCTGATGAGAGAGAGAGAGAGATACAGAGAGAGATACAGAGAGAGAAACATTGATTCTTTATGTGCCTGCACTGGGGATGGAACCTGAAACCTAGATATGTGCCCTGACAAAGTGCACTTTTCTCTCATGAACACAATTTAAAATTTTGCAAGCAGTAAGAAACACTTTATTTTAACTTTACAACATATAAGTAGCTCGGGTCAAACCTGTGCTTTCTGGCAGCTGGGCATGTCTTCGCCTTTGCAGGCACCTGCCTTCCTTCACATTGCACTGTTCCTTGGGTGGCTCTGGCCCTGGGGCCCAGTGCTTAGGAGTTGGAGAGAGAGGGCCAGGCAGCCCAGTTCCATCTCCTCATGTAGTGGCCTGTGTCTGCCATCTGCTGGGGTTGCGGCTGGTGCGGAAGGACCGCTCCTCAGGGGCGAGGCCAGCAAAGAAGGGGTGCAGCAGGGCCTCCGCCAGTGTGATGCGCTGGGCAGGGTCAAACTCTAACATCCTCCTCATCAGGTCAAACAGCTGCACGTGCTCCAGGGAGTCTTGGAGCATGTAACTCTCCAGAGGTTTGTAGTTCTCCATCACATACTGGCCATCAGAGCTGTTCTCATCCCAAACCAGGGCCCCTTTGTAAAAATATTTCTGCTTCCTGGTACGGTGGATCATGTGTGATGGGATGGGCCCTAGGGTCTTCTCCATCATCACCAAATGCTCTGGGTCTTCGTGGGTCTGGAAAAGTGGCAAGCCCCGGTAGTACTCGAAGAGAATGCAGCCAATGCTCCAGACGTCACAGGGCTGTGCCCAGCCCAGCTCTAGGATCACCTCAGGTGGGCGGTAACAACGAGTGGCCACAATGGCTGTGTGATGCCCATGGTCAAAGGTAGCAGCGCCGAAGTCAGCAACTCGGATGCTGGAGTCCTTCACTGACCTCTCCTCACAGCCCGTGTGCTCATTGTAGATCGTTTCGAACTCAGAATTGACAAACAGGATGTTCTCTGGCTTCAAGTCTGTGTGGGTCAGTCGGTTCTCATGTAGGAATCTCAGGGCGTGGCAGAGCTGGTGGGCCATGTGCCGGACATGTGGTAGGGGGTAAGGCTGGAAATGATTCTCCTTCAGGAACTCAAAGGTGTTCTTGCCCAGGAGCTCAAAGGCGATGCACATGTGGCCGTGGAAGTTAAACCAGTCGTACATCAAGACGCACAAGAACTGGTTCTCTTTGTCCTTTTCTTTGATTTTTTGGAGAACATTGATTTCTAGTCGGGCAGCCTTCCGGTACTTGTCCACGTTGCGAATGATCTTCAGGGCAACCTGAGACTTCCCTCTGGCATGGTCCAAGCACTCCACCACCTTGCCAAAGGTGCCTTTGCCCAGGTCCCCCACAATCTCATATCGCTCTTGGAGCCAATCGCCCACCCGGCACAACAGGTGGCCCTCCTTGTCATCTTCCACGCTCGGCTGCTGCACGTACTGCTCTGTTGGCTGCTCGAGGAGGCACTGCTACCAGACCTGGGGCGGCGTCTGTGGCAGTGGCAATGGCAATGGCGGGCATGTTTGCGAGTCCGGTACGGCTCTCTATCCCGGGACCGTGGTCGGTGATGGGAACGTGAAGACCCATAGTAGCCCTCTCCAAATGATGGGCTCCGCTCCTCACATCGGTATGTGGCGCTGTCACGGCGCTCCAGGTACCGCCTCTGGTAGGGTAAGCGGTCATGGCTTCTGGACCGAGATCTCCAGGGTGCAGGCTCCCATGGAGATGGGTAGCGCAGTCTCCCTTCGTGCTCCCGACTGTAAGGCCTCCTTCTCTTCCATCGGTAGCTCAGGTACGGGTGTGGCTCGGGGGAGCGGTATCGCTGACAGTGATGCATCGTCTCCCAGGCTCTGGCGGCGGCGACTAGCAACCGCCTGCGTTTTAAATATGCCCTACCCCAGTCTGGATTCCCTTCCGAGGTATGTGTCTCTCTGGCGGGCACAGAGCAGGCCCTCAGGAACACACAGGTCTTCCCTCACTCTGGCCTCGCGAACCCACTCGGTCCCATCTCTGGACTCACCAGGAGCAGACGTCTCTTGTCTGGTTCGTAGCGCCGAAAGCGAAAGGAGAACCTCCCTCAAAGCTCTCCCAGCCTAGAACAGTCTGGCACGGGACTGTGGGAGCCGTGACCTGACCCTGGTATATATACACCATTACCAGGACCGAGTTATTAACCACGCCCACCTAAGTCCAGTGGCTCCGCCCCCAGGGGGGAGGGATGAACCAGAGTAAGAGGATTTTCAGTGCTTTCCTGAAGCCAGAGAGGATTAAGTGTTAATAAGCATGATCTAATTCGCCCCTGGTATTCTCTCTTGATCCTGCCACCATTTATATATTTACTTATTTTTTTGAATTCTTTATTAGTTAAGGTATTACAAATGTGTCCTCATCCCTCCCATTAAACCCCCATCCTACCCCCCCACCCCCACTCATTTTTTAAAAACACATTTCTGCCGAAGCCGGTTTGGCTCAGTGGATAGAGCGTCGGCCTGCGGACTGAAAGGTCCCGGGTTCGATTCCGGACAAGGGCATGTGCCTGGGTTGGGGGCATATCCCCAGTGGGAGATGTGCAGGAGGCAGCTGATCTATGTTTCTCTCTCATCGATGTTTCTAACTCTCTAACTCTCTCCCTTCCTCTCTGTAAAAAATCAATAAAATATATTTAAAAAAAACCACATTTCTATTGATTTCAGAGAGGTAGGCAGAAGGAGAGAGAGACATAGAAACATCAATGATGAGAAAGAATCATTGATTTGCTGCCTCCTGCATACCCCCCATGGGGGATGGAGCCCACAGCCCTGATGCTGGCCCTGACGGGAATCCAACCAGTGACCTCTTGGTTCATAGGTCTGCACTTAACCACTGAGCCATGCTGGCGGGGCATTTCTTTTCTTTTAAATCTCTAGGGTTGAGCCCTATCCGGTTTGGTTCAGTGAATAGAACCTCAGCCTGCAGACCTAAGGGTTGGGGTTCCATTGCAGTCAAGGGCACCTAGCTTGGTACTTAAAGTGATTAACTACCCGCCTGACATTTAGTTAAGGGGTTTTATTCCCTCCCTGACATCAGGGAACAATCCCTACCTGGAGAAACAACCTTTCTCAGAGAGGTGACCTTGGTTAAAACACATAGCGCCAAGAAGGTTCGCAAACATATTAAGAACAGTATGCCATAGACGCCAGGTCCCTTGAAACATATGCAGTGCAGATGTTTCTTCCCTGCAGTGACTGTGTCAAGTAGCAAGGATGGACCGGCTTCCGGCAATCTCCTTGTGAATATTGCCATGTATCCCCAGTCCGTGGCTAAAGCTGTTAAATAACTAAATACTGGCCTGGTCTCCATTAGGGACTGGGTGACTTTGGACCACCTGCTAATACTGTGTGTGGGTGGCTCTCTCGAGGCCGATTAAGGAAGATCCAATCAATCTGGTTCTGAGTATCTGGGATTCAGGCCCACGGCTCTAACCTCACCCCTGTCCTCCTATACACACACATTCTCACCTGTCTCAGCCTGTACACATACCCGGCCTCACTGAGACATAAGGGAAGGGAGTCCACATGCACTTTCTGACCAGCACTGGGAGGCAATTGTCAGCCGCTTTGTTCAGGTTGACATCCTGGTTCCCGAAAGTTTAGCAAAAGCATTTGATGGCTCAGGAAGGCCCCAAACCATAATGAAAGCATGTGCCCTAAAATAACCTGAATCCGAATGAGAATTCCCTGAAGTGCCCACTGGGACCTTCCAGGGCCACTGCACAGAAAGCGAGGTTGTTACCGCCCACGGCTCTGGGCAACTCTGTGCAGCGGGTGTTTGAGGACCTTCGCCTTGGCTTTACCCCATACAAACGTTCCCCTTCCTGACTCCTCGGGGTTAGATCTGGATATCTACAATTTGATAGGGCATTTAGGTGACTGAAGGTTTGGACGGGAGACAGGAAAACATAATTAACCGCTTGTGTTCTAAGAGAAGCCAATCCCGAGTTTGGGTTCCCTTTAGAGGTACATGTCTGTCAGCGGGGCACTGCTCAGGTGCTCAGGAACCCACAGGTCTTCCTCACGCCGGCCTCCCGCACCCACTTGTTCCCGTCTCCGGACTCACCAGCAGCAGATGGCTCTTCTCCGTTCTGAAACGCCAAAAGGGAAAGCCGAAACTCCCACAAGGGTCTCTCTACACAGCGTGGCACAGGACTCCAGGATGTGTTTCTTCCTGATGAGAGAGAGAGGGGGGGGGGGGGGGGCGGGGAGAGAAACATTGATTCTTTATGTGCCTGCACTGGGGATGGAACCTGAAACCTAGATATGTGCCCTGACAAAGTGCACTTTTCTCTCATGAACACAATTTAAAATTTTGCAAGCAGTAAGAAACACTTTATTTTAACTTTACAACATATAAGTAGCTCGGGTCAAATCTGTGCTTTCTGGCAGCTGGGCATGTCTTCGCCCTTGCAGGCACCTGCCTTCCTTCACATTGCACTGTTCCTTGGGTGGCTCTGGCCCTGGGGCCCAGCGGTTAGGAGTTGGAGAGAGAGGGCCAGGCAGCCCAGTTCCATCTCCTCATGTAGTGGCCTGTGCCTGCCATCTGCTGGGGTTGCGGCTGGTGCGGAAGGACCGCTCCTCAGGGGCGAGGCCAGCAAAGAAGGGGTGCAGCAGGGCCTCCGCCAGTGTGATGCGCTGGGCAGGGTCAAACTCTAACATCCTCCTCATCAGGTCAAACAGCTGCACGTGCTCTAGGGAGTCTTGGAGCATGTAACTCTCCAGAGGTTTGTAGTTCTCCATCACATACTGGCCATCAGAGCTGTTCTCATCCCAAACCAGGGCCCCTTTGTAAAAATATTTCTGCTTCCTGGTACGGTGGATCATGTGTGATGGGATGGGCCCTAGGGTCTTCTCCATCATCACCAAATGCTCTGGGTCTTCGTGGGTCTGGAAAAGTGGCAAGCCCCGGTAGTACTCGAAGAGAATGCAGCCAATGCTCCAGACGTCACAGGGCTGTGCCCAGCCCAGCTCTAGGATCACCTCAGGTGGGCGGTAATAACGAGTGGCCACAATGGTTGTGTGATGCCCATGGTCAAAGGTAGCAGCGCCGAAGTCAGCAACTCGGATGCTGGAGTCCTTCACTGACCTCTCCTCACAGCCCGTGTGCTCATTGTAGATCGTTTCGAACTCAGAATTGACAAACAGGATGTTCTCTGGCTTCAAGTCTGTGTGGGTCAGTCGGTTCTCATGTAGGAATCTCAGGGCGTGGCAGAGCTGGTGGGCCATGTGCCGGACATGTGGTAGGGGGTAAGGCTGGAAATGATTCTCCTTCAGGAACTCAAAGGTGTTCTTGCCCAGGAGCTCAAAGGCGATGCACATGTGGCCGTGGAAGTTAAACCAGTCGTACATCAAGACGCACAAGAACTGGTTCTCTTTGTCCTTTTCCTTGATTTTTTGGAGAACATTGATTTCTAGTCGGGCAGCCTTCCGGTACTTGTCCACGTTGCGAATGATCTTCAGGGCAACCTGAGACTTCCCTCTGGCATGGTCCAAGCACTCCACCACCTTGCCAAAGGTGCCTTTGCCCAGGTCCCCCACAATCTCATATCGCTCTTGGAGCCAATCGCCCACCCGGCACAACAGGTGGCCCTCCTTGTCATCTTCCACGCTCCGGCTGCTGCACGTACTGCTCTGTTGGCTGCTCGAGGAGGCACTGCTACCAGACCTGGGGCGGCGTCTGTGGCAGTGGCAATGGCAATGGTGGGCATGTTTGCGAGTCCGGTACGGCTCTCTATCCCGGGACCGTGGTCGGTGATGGGAACGTGAAGACCCATAGTAGCCCTCTCCAAATGATGGGCTCCGCTCCTCACATCGGTATGTGGCGCTGTCACGGCGCTCCAGGTACCGCCTCTGGTAGGGTAAGCGGTCATGGCTTCTGGACCGAGATCTCCAGGGTGCAGGCTCCCATGGAGATGGGTAGCGCAGTCTCCCTTCGTGCTCCCGACTGTAAGGCCTCCTTCTCTTCCATCGGTAGCTCAGGTACGGGTGTGGCTCGGGGGAGCGGTATCGCTGACAGTGATGCATCGTCTCCCAGGCTCTGGCGGCGGCGACTAGCAACCGCCTGCGTTTTAAATATGCCCTACCCCAGTCTGGATTCCCTTCCGAGGTATGTGTCTCTCTGGCGGGCACAGAGCAGGCCCTCAGGAACACACAGGTCTTCCCTCACTCTGGCCTCGCGAACCCACTCGGTCCCATCTCTGGACTCACCAGGAGCAGACGTCTCTTGTCTGGTTCGTAGCGCCGAAAGCGAAAGGAGAACCTCCCTCAAAGCTCTCCCAGCCTAGAACAGTCTGGCACGGGACTGTGGGAGCCGTGACCTGACCCTGGTATATATACACCATTACCAGGACCGAGTTATTAACCACGCCCACCTACGTCCAGTGGCTCCGCCCCCAGGGGGGAGGGATGAACCAGAGTAAGAGGATTTTCAGTGCTTTCCTGAAGCCAGAGAGGATTAAGTGTTAATAAGCATGATCTAATTCGCCCCTGGTATTCTCTCTTGATCCTGCCACCATTTATATATTTACTTATTTTTTGAATTCTTTATTAGTTAAGGTATTACAAATGTGTCCTCATCCCTCCCATTAAACCCCCATCCTACCCCCCACCCCCACTCATTTTTTAAAAACACATTTCTGCCGAAGCCGGTTTGGCTCAGTGGATAGAGCGTCGGCCTGCGGACTGAAAGGTCCCGGGTTCGATTCCGGACAAGGGCATGTGCCTGGGTTGGGGGCATATCCCCAGTGGGAGATGTGCAGGAGGCAGCTGATCTATGTTTCTCTCTCATCGATGTTTCTAACTCTCTATCTCTCTCCCTTCCTCTCTGTAAAAAATCAATAAAATATATTTAAAAAAAAAACACATTTCTATTGATTTCAGAGAGGTAGGCAGAAGGAGAGAGAGACATAGAAACATCAATGATGAGAAAGAATCATTGATTTGCTGCCTCCTGCATACCCCCATGGAGGATGGAGCCCACAGCCCTGATGCTGGCCCTGACGGGAATCCAACCAGTGACCTCTTTGTTCATAGGTCTGCACTTAACCACTGAGCCATGCTGGCGGGGCATTTATTTTCTTTTAAATCTCTAGGGTTGAGCCCTATCCGGTTTGGTTCAGTGAATAGAACCTCAGCCTGCAGACCTAAGGGTTGGGGTTCCATTGCAGTCAAGGGCACCTAGCTTGGTTGCAGACTCCTCCCCTTCCTGGGCCCTGGACAGGCCTGAGCGGGAGGCAACCAATGGATGTGTTTCTCTCACATCCTGGTTTCTCTAGGTCTTTCCCTCTCTCTTCGGTGCTCTAAAAGGCAATGAGATAATACCCTCAGGTGAGGATTGAAAAAAAACAAAAACATAGAGTGTTAATTTTGCTAGGCACAAACAGCAATCACTTGCTATTGAAAAGGTTAAAAAAACCTTGTTGATTGGATAAACTAATAGCCCTTAACCAGTGATAGCATTTCCAAGGCAGTTTTTTATTAAAAAATCTTTTAAGCCCTAACCGGTTTGGCTCAGTGGATAGAGCGTCGGCCTGCGGACTCAAGGGTCCCAGGTTCCATTCCCATCAAGGGCATGTATCTTGGTTGCGGGCTCATACCCAGTGGGGAGTGTGCACGAGGCAGCTGATTGATGTTTCTAACTCTCCATCCCTATCCCTTCCTCTTTGTAAAAAAATCAATAAAGTGTATTAAAAACAAAACACAACAAAAAACAAACAAACAAAAAAATCCTTTAAGGCACTGATCTTAGCAGAAACCAAGTGGCTGAAATGACCTCCACAATATAAAAAAAACAGTAAAGGCAGTACCATGAATTTTTTCAACTCAGGTTGCAAATTAACACACATTTGGAAGATTTCAATTCTTTATTACTATCATCTCCCTGTGAATGTCGCCATGTATCCCCAGTCCGTGGCTAAAGCTGTTAAATAACTAAATACTGGCCTGGTCTCCATTAGGGACTGGGTGACTTTGGACCACCTGCTAATACTGTGTGTGGGTGGCTCTCTCGAGGCCGATTAAGGAAGATCCAATCAATCTGGTTCTGAGTATCTGGGATTCAGGCCCACGGCTCTAACCTCACCCCTGTCCTCCTTTACACACACATTCTCACCTGTCTCCGCCTGTACACAAACCCGGCCTCACTGAGACATAAGGGAAGGGAGTCCACATGCACTTTCTGACCAGCACTGGGAGGCCATTGTCAGCCGCTTTGTTCAGGTTGACATCCTGGTTCCCAAAAGTTTAGCAAAAGCATTTGATGGCTCAGGAAGGCCCCAAACCATAATGAAAGCATGTGCCCTAAAATAACCTGAATCCGAATGAGAATTCCCTGAAGTGCCCACTGGGACCTTCCAGGGCCGCTGCACAGAAAGCGAGGTTGTTACCGCCCACGGCTCTGGGCAACTCTGTGCAGCGGGTGTTTGAGGACCTTCCCCTTGGCTTTACCCCATACAAACGTTCCCCTTCCTGACTCCTCGGGGTTAGATCTGGATATCTAAACTTTGATAGGGCATTTAGGTGACTGAAGGTTTGGACGGGAGACAGGAAAACATAATTAACCGCTTGTGTTCTAAGAGAAGCCAATCCCGAGTTTGGGTTCCCTTTAGAGGTACATGTCTGTCAGCGGGGCACTGCTCAGGTGCTCAGGAACCCACAGGTCTTCCTCACGCCGGCCTCCTGCACCCACTTGTTCCCGTCTCCGGACTCACCAGCAGCAGATGGCTCTTCTCCGTTCTGAAACGCCAAAAGGGAAAGCCGAAACTCCCACAAGGGTCTCTCTACACAGCGTGGCACAGGACTCAGAATGTGTTTCTTCCTGATGAGAGAGAGAGAGAGAGAGAGAGAGAGAGAGATACAGAGAGAGAAACATTGATTCTTTATGTGCCTGCACTGGGGATGGAACCTGAAACCTAGATATGTGCCCTGACTGGGAATCAAATTGGCAACTTATTATTTTTTGGTCTTTAAAACTCAAATTTTTATTTTATTTTTAAAATTAAATCTTTATTGTTGAAAGTATTACATATGTCCCCTTTTCCCCCCATTGACCCCTTCAACGTCCCCCCCCCCCCTCACCCCAGGCCTTCACAACCCTATTGCCTGTTTCCATGGGTTATTCATATATGTATACAAGTTCTTTGACCACTTCCCACTTCCCTACCTTTCCCCACCCTCCCTCGGAGGTTCAACAGTCTGTTCTATGCTTCTGTGTTTCTGGATTTAGTTTGTCAGTTTATTTTGTTCATTAGATTCCACATATGCGTGAGATCATGTGATACTTGTGTTTCTCTGACTGGCTTATTTCGCTTAGCATAATACTCTCCAGGTCCCTCCATGCTGTCTCAAAGGATATGAGATCCTTCTTTTTCACTGCTGCATAGTATTCCATGGTATAAATGTACCACAACTTTTTTATCTGCTCATCTACTGATAGGCACTTGGGATGTTTTCAGATCTTAGCTATTGTAAATTGTGCTGCTATGAACATAGGGATGCATACATTCTTTCTGATTGGTGTTTTTGGTATATTCCCAGAAGTGGGATCACTGAGTCAAATGGCAGTTCCATATTTAATTTTTTGAGGACACTCCATGCTGTTTTCCATAATAGCTGCACCAGTCTGCATTCCCGCCAGCAGTGTACTAGGGTTCCCTTTTCTCCACATGCTCACCAGCATTTGTTATTTGTTGATGGTAGCCATTCTGACAGGAGTGAGGGGATATCTCATTGTTGTTTTAATTTGCATCTCTCTGATGGTTAGTGACTTTGAGCATTTTCTCATATGTCGCTTGGCCATCAGTATGTGCACTTTGAAGAAGTGTCTATTTAGGTCTTTTGCAAACTGGCAACCTTTTGGTGCACAGGATAATGCTCTAACCAACTGAGCCACAGTGGCCAGGACTGAAAATATTCTTAAAAATCTTTCCTTGCCCTTTGGCATAAGCAACTTACACCTTATGCTAGAATTACTTATAGCCTAGTAATAATTTTCCTATGATACTTTCATTACTGCAAATATAGTTGCCTCCTGTTTCTCTCCTTATTTGTAAACTATTGCCATAATGATATTGAAGAGCCAGTATGATACACTCTCTTGTACTAGTAAATTATTTGGCCTAGAAGATCCCAGGAAATCATAAAAAGGCGAGATAGCTTCTTTTAAACAAAAGGTATTTACTTATTTACTATCTTGACCAAAAGCCCTTGCAGGGTCCTGCCGTAGGGATAGTTACAATACTAGTGGGAAGTTCTTGACCATTCCCTCAGTTTCAGAGCACAGTTTTGGTTTGTTTTTTAATATATATATTTTTTATTGATTTCAGAGAGGAAGGGAGAGGGAGAGATAGAAACATCAATGATGAGAGAGAACCATTGATTGGCTGCCTCCTGCATGCCCCCTACTGGGGATGGAGACTGCAACCTCGGCATGTGCCCTTGACTGGAATCAAACGGAGGACCCTTCAGTCTGCAGGCTGACACTCTATACACTGAGCCAAACCGGCAAGGGCCAGAGCAGTTTTTATGCCATGTTAAAGCATTGCTGAAATCTAGCTATACGAAAGTATGTGGCCTGGCCACAGTTGGCTAGAGCACCATCCCAATATGCCAAGGTTGCAGGTTCAATCCCTGGTCAGGGCACATATAAGAATAAACCGCCCTAACCGGTTTGGCTCAGTGGATAGAGCATCGGCCTGCGGACTCAAGGGTCCCAGGTTCGATTCCGGTCAAGGGCATGTACCTTGGTTGCGGGCTCATACCCAGTGGGGGGTGTGCAGGAGGCAGCTGATCGATGTTTCTCTCTCATCGATGTTTCTAACTCTCTATCCCTCTCCCTTCCTCTCTGTAAAAAATCAATAAAATATATATAGATAAAAAAAGAATCAACCGACGAATGCATAAACATGTGGAACAACAAATCGATGTCTCTCTCTTGCTCTCTCTGTAAGATCAATAAATAAAACATAAAAATATAAAAAAGTCTGGACTCTTTGTGAATATTTGTGCTGGAAAGCAAGTGACTTAATAATTTATAGTACAGCTGGTATCTTTCAACACTCAAATAGTAAATCCTTCCCACCCTTGAATCTCAGATTGTAGGTTAAAGACTTCATTTTCCATTCATTGCATGTAGAGGATATCTTTCCATCTATCTTTTCAATCTTTCTAGGAAGGCAGGTTGATGGGAAATCTGCTTTCAATTTTAAAGGCCTCAGGGTAAGGAGAAAATGGTAGTATTTTTGCAGGTAGGTAGGTAGGTGTAGCTTCCCAGGTGGGTCTGGGAAGTAGATCTACATCTCAACTTAAGGCTGGATGAACTCAGGTGGTGTCAAACATGTTTCCAGGATCATAATCTTGGCATAGAAAAGGTCTGACATGTCTAGAATTTGTTCAGCATACTTCATAGAAGTTTATCTTTATGGTTTGGTCTCCATCACCCACAATGTATCGGACAATGCCAGGCACCAGAGATACAAGGATGAATAAAACATACTTTCTCCTCAAGGCATGTGCATATCATTAATGCCCTTCCTTCAGATAAATCTTTGCAGTTCTCTCAACTGCACCCACCCTCTCCAACTATCCTGTGAATGGTTTCTTTAGGAACCCACCTGCTTGGACACTGTTACCCAGGGCTTCCCACACGAGAGCCTCGGATGTCCTATCTCTCCCTAAACGAAGGCTAACACCCTCGCTTCCCTCTGTCATTCATTTTGTTGGGTAAGGAACTGGGAAGTCTGGGACCAATGACTCATAAGACTTGAATTTTCACGTATATTCCAGAAAGCCGGGGGACACGCAGACTCGGTTGTGTAAACAGGAAACTATCGATCCCGAGCAGGAAATGACCTTCTCGGAGGGCAAGCGAGGTGCCGCGGGTTTCCCTCCTCCTTCCCTCAGTCCCCTTTGAAGCTCATTTCCGGGTCTCACTCCCTTCGGGCCTCAGCGACTAGAACAGAGTCCCGCAGGCTCTGCCCAGTCCCTCCGCGGACAGCGTCCCCCGCGAGCACCGCCCACAGGCCCTTCCCTTCAGCCGACTTCTTCACGCCTCGCTTCACATCGCCGCAAATCCCGACCAATCAGTAGCAGGGGTAGGCGGTACCAAAATAACCCCCACTTCCTCCCCAAATAGCCAACCCCCCGCGTCGCGTCATCCTGATGGATGACTTAGGTAGCCAATCAACAGGCAACCTCGGTTCCAGCCTACCTTAAACCCAATCAATTAAAACCAAGAAGGGGAATTGGGGCGGAGAATGGAAAACTTGCCCCTCTTTTGGAAATTGCCTGGAAAGGTGCGTCCGGACAGCGTGAACTTACTTTTTTGTTTGTTTGTTTTAACTAGGAGTCACTGCATAGTGTCTATCTCATAAGCCCCAGTTCTGTCCCCCTTCGACTCCACCCCAAGATGAGCCCCACCCCTCACTTCTCCACCCCGAGTGGTCCGGGAAAGAACCCCAATGCCGGGTGCTCTACACGCTCCTCCCCGGGCGGGGAGAGTCCGGGGAAGGAGAGACCCTGCAGCCCTGGCGCCAACCTTTCCATTCAGTGCGCCTCTCCCCTCCGTCCCCACGTTCCCGGGTCGGAGCTGACACGGGAGTGGGCGGAGCCGAGTGCCTCTTGCTGCGGGAGCGGCAAAGGCTTCTTAAGGTGGAACAGAACTGTTAGGTGGCTGGGCCTCAGAGTAAAGGGTGTGACCTTCTGCTTCTCAACCTTGCTTTCCACACAGTGGTGGCTCATCGCTGTCACCTAGCCTTAGTTTTAGATTTATTTATTTATTTTTTTTGCAAGAATAAACAGGTTAGGTAGAGGATATAAAGTTAAATGAGTAAAACTTAAAATAATAGTTATGTAAAGGAAATACAAACTGGAGAGAACTTTTCCCTTATGATTTAATCCCTTCTGCTGTGTTCCATTCTTCTGAGATGGCCTTTTACAGTAGCAGCTAGGATTTTTCCTGATGTGCAAATATGAGCTCAACTTTTGTCGGATAAGTCTCTCTAAATGAATCATTTTGTGCCTTCCGTTTATTCTCTCCCTCCTAGATCTGACTACAGCCTTTAAGGAAGCAAGGACCTTGTGCCAGTGGCTGAGGGGACCTCCTATCCTTTTACAGCGAGTCCCCTGTAGCTGGCAGAGTGGAGGTGGTATATTTCCTGGGCTTGCAGTCTTGTCTGTGGCTCAGTCTTCTCATTTATAAAATGGGCATAATAATACCTACCTTCTAGTTGAGTGGCAATACCAGAAGACATAATGTAAATAAAAACACGTAACCTGAAAGGTATAAAGGAACAGTAGATAATATTATGAATACAAAGCATATAATAATAGTAAAGATTTACAACATCCTTACTATGTTCTAGCACTTTTAAAAACAAATTATTTTGTACAACTTCAGACACATACAAAAGTAGAGAGTATAGTAGTAAAAAAAAAACAAAAAAATAAACCATGTTGTAATAAACAATGGGAAATCTTTCATCATCTATGCCATCACTTTATTATTTTGAAGCAAATTTATGACAATAAATTTGTCATGAAGCATTTCATGACAATACTTCTGTATACATTTTTAAAAGATAAAGATTCTTAAGTAATAACAATTTCATTAGCACATCTAAAATATAACAATAATTCCTTGATATCACCACAGTCAGGATTGAAATTTCACCAACTGCTTCATAATATCTGTTCCAGCTGCTTTTTTCAAATCAGGATTTCCCCCAAATGTCCACATATTGTATTTCACGGATATGTCTCTTGATCCATATATGTTGCATTTGGTCAATATATGTTTTAAGCCTCTTTCAATCTCTAGGTTCCCCTTTCCTCATGCACTATTGACACATCACATGCACAAAGTAGGAATTATTATTGTCCCCATTTACTGATGAGATACTGAGTAACAGAGCAGTTTAATGACTTAAGTTCTTAGTTATTGAGTGCTAAAGTTGGGATTTGAATACATGAATCATATCACTATACTATGTTTCATAGTTTCATAAAACACACAGCTCTTCAATGCTTCCGAAATGTGTATTGTGCTGTAGTAGTCACCAATATTATGAAGAAGCATTTTGCTCAACGTCAACTAACACTCGTGAAGAATTACAGATATGTTCTATTATATAGAAGGGTGGATCCCTTCCCCGAGAAACATCGATGTGAGAGAGAGACACATCGATTGGTTGCCTCCCACACGTGGCTGGGGATCTAGTCTGCAACTGAGGTTTGTGCCCTTGACCAGAATCAAACCCGGGACCCTTCAGTCTGCAGGCTGACACTCTATCCAATGAGCCACATCAGCTAGGGCAAGACATCCATTTGTTGTTCCACATATTTATGCATTCATTGGTTGATTCTTGTATGTGCCCTGACTGGGGATGGAACCTGCAACCTTGGCACATCGAGATGACAGTCTAACTAATTGAGCCAGGGCCTGTTTCTGCTTTATTTTTAAGTTACAAATAATGCTGCAGCAAATATATTGTATATTAGAAATAATTCTTGATCTTTTAATTTTTCTGAATTTGCAGAAAAAGTGTCTAATCCTTCCCTAGCTTTTCAATTTTTAATATTTTTACCCCTGCTCCCAAAATTTCATATACATACATAGAAAATGTCAAAAAAAAAGTTTGAAAAAATAAGCATAATAAAATATCTAACTCACAGCAAGAAATATTTGATGGCAAATTATCTTTGGGTGGGGGAATGAGTTAATGTTTCAAAGTGTGTGTGGGGGGGGGGGGAGGGGAAAGTACCTGGATATTAGAAGGGTACAGAGAAAGAAAAGGCTCCAACAGGCCTTTACTTTTTTTTTTTTTAAATATTTTATTGATTTTTACAGAGAGGAAGGGAGAGAGATAGAGAGCTAGAAACATCGATGAGAGAGAAACATTGATCAGCCGCCTCCTGCACATCTCCTACTGGGGATTTCTGTGAGGAACAAATGAGATGAGGCATGGGAAAATGCTTCACAAACATTTGGTTAAAGTGTAAAATATTTGCACCTGGCTATAAAGCAAGTCGTGTTCTGAAGAAACTCCAAGGAGGCTAGTCGCTAGGCTAGGAAGAGGAAGCCAGGTGTTGCTATGTGATGTCATTACCGGGCGCCCACAGCCACCATTTCTGGGCTGGGCTGGGCTGTGGACCGCATTTTGTGCCATGGCAGCGTTGGCTGCAATTTGGTGGGCTGTTGCTCTGGGGTGGTGGCGGGGCCTGTGTCCCACTTGAGGGAATCCAAGTGTTGCTTTGTCAGTGTCAGGTCCATGCTGTTTCTCTATAAATGGCCAGTGCACATCATGGCGGCAGCTCCTGTGTTGAACGTCTCTCCCCTGATGGTCAGTGCGCATCATAGTGACTGGTCAGACAAGTGGAGGGACACTTAGCATATATATATATATATATATATATATATATATATATATATATATATGTATTACAATACAGTATCATATATTTAGCCAGAGGACAAAAGACTAATGTTTAAATGTGAAATGTAGTCATCAAGCTGTAATCTTGGGTAGGCAGTCTTTTTTTGAGCAATTCAAATAATTCATGGATGTTTTTGCTTTCATATTATTTTATGTGATAGAAAGTAGAGTAGATTTAGAAAAGCTTGATAGGCCTGAAGGATGAAATATATAAGAATCTGAAGAAGAAAAAAAAAAAGAATCTGCAGAGAAATATGACTCTAAGAGGAAAAGGGGAGGGTAGATTCCCTGGTGTGGCATTTTCTATCTTTGGGTGGGGATTACTCTTTTTTTGGTGTTTTTTAAATATATTTTTTACATCGATCAGCTGCCTCCTGCACACCCCCTACTGGGGATGTGCCTGCAACCAAGGTACCTGCCCTTGACCGGAATCGAACCTGGGACCTTTCAGTCCCCAGGCCTACGCTCTATCCACTGAGCCAAACCGGTTACGGCTGGGGATTACTCTTTAAGGGGCAGAAAATAAGAACGTTGTACACTGTGTGACCAAGATAAGATATGTTTTACAGGTTTTTCAAGCGAACTGAACATTCATATTTTGTATACTGTACAATTTAAAAAGCAACCCTTATTGGGTAGGCAAGGTGAGTATCAAGGTCCTCTCTTTGGTGACTGATTCCACAGAAAAAATGTATAATGCTAGACTTTCCTATGTTTAGTTCAGAGCTTTCTCCGTTACATGCTCATTTACTTCTTTATATACACTCACTTGCCCAGCAAGCATCTACTGAACTCCAGGATGCTATCAGGGTAACACATTCACTCCACCCTCATCCCCAGAACCCTTTACAAACGATCGCAGGGGAAAGAGAAGCCCATCAAAGATATTCCCGAGCAAAACGGGCATGCATATGGAATCTGCAAATGGAATACAACAGAATGAGAAAAGGTCAGCGACACAGAATTGGGGCGGCATTGACAGTCCCGTGAACCGTGTGCCCGATGGAGAGCAGCGGGTCGTCACTAGGGCGGATGGCGAGCTGCACGGAGCGAGGTGTCCTGGCGGCGGCTGGCGGGGAGTGAGGGTCTGCGCTCGGGCGGGCTGTGAGCCGCGGCCGCGTCCCCGGGAGCCGGGCTGTGAGCCGCGGCCGCGTCCCCGGGAGCAGCCCGGCCCGCGGCCTGGAGCCGCCCGCTCCTCCTTAACCCGCGCGGGAGGCGGCGGCGCGGCCCGGCGGGCGGGGGCGGGGGAGGGGCCGGGAGCGCGGCGCGGAGGCCGGGGAGGAGCCGGGGCCTGCAGCGGAGCCGAGCCGAGCCCGAGCCCGAGCCGAGCCCTGGCACCGTCCGTCCGCCTTCTGGCTCCCGGGGAGCCCGGACCGGCCGGAGCCCGAGCGGTGGCAGCGCGGGGAGCCCCACGCGCCAAGCGTGCGGACCGGCCGGGACGGGGCTGGAGGCGGCGCCGGCGCCACGGCAGCCAGTGACGGGGGTGCGGAGCCGCGGCCTCCCGGACCCTGCTGCCCAGGCCGCCCGGGCAGAGCGGGGAGTGCGAAAACCCCACCCTCTGGGGCACCCCAGCTGCGGAGGCGGGAGCGGGGACGCGGCCACAGCTCCCGGTGGAAGGGGAGACCCTTGCCGTCCGCGCGAGGGAAAGAGGAGACCCCGGTCGGGGGCGAGTCCCCCTCCTTGGCGGCGAGGACGACCCCCGCGCCGGCCGGGAGCGGACCTCCGAAGTAGAAGGGGGCGATCCGTGCAGAGCCAGCGGGGGGCGGCCGCCCGCTGCCCCCGCCTCCAGGCGCACTCTCGGCAGCACTTCGGGACTTTGGAGGCAGAGCGGAGGGGGTGAGCTCACGGAGTAGGCGCCCTGCATCCTCTCCGGTACTCACAGCAGCAGAGGACGCTCCGGGGAGAGAGGAGCGGCGGCCCCGGCCTGTCGGGAGCGGCGAGAACTGCCGGCCCCTCCACTTCCTGGTGCCCAGACAGTGGAACCAGGCAGAGCCCGTCCGCGCAGCTCCCCCGCGGACAGAAGGAGCCCTCCACTCCTGAAACAGCCAGCTTGGGGGGGAGGGGGACTCCCCCAAGGGGGAGGAGACAACTCCTGGTTGGGAGAGGCTCCTCCCCTCCTCCCCAGCGTCACGGGCAGGGTGTGGGGGGTGTGCCACCTTCCCCAGGTAGGGCCTCCTTCTCCCCCTCCTCCTCCCCCTTCTCCCCCTCCTCCCCTTCCCCCTCCCCCCTCCGCTCCTCATCCTCAGGGGACCCAGATCCCCTCCCCAGCTTGGGAGGCTCCACCAAGAACGGGAAGAGCCACCGAGGATGAGACTCTTCAGCTGCCTTTGAGGAGGGGGATCCCTCCAACCCCAAACTCCAGGACCAGGTGGTTCCCTCCCTTTGCTGGGGGAACCTTGGAGACAGGTTAGTGCATTCTTTCACCTTCTCTCCGTCCGTGCGCTTTAGGCACTAGTGGGTGTAGGGGTCTGAGGTGGTGCTGGTGGGTTTCATTGCTGGGGAAGGTAGAACGGTAACTCAGAGAAATGTGTTCTGAAGGAACCCCTGGGTTCGAAACCACCCCTTTCGGCAGAGGCTCTGGGAAGTGGGTTTCTTGGTGTTTCGGGATGGGGTTCACCTGAAGTCCCTGGGGAAGTGTATGTTTCCATGCTGACAGCAAAGGGAGATGAGAAAACACCTGCATTTTCCGAATCCATCCATACTGTGTAGCAGCGATTGACACATCCCAACTGGACTCCCATATCACCCTGCATCCTTGGGGCCATCTCCCCTGGACAGTCACCTGGAGAGGGCCCTCACGCAAGTCGTGGTGGCATTTCATGGCCTGCCCTTGTGTAGGGCTGCCACTGGTATCACATTTTCTCGTCTGTAACCCTAAGTTGCCTTTATGTCCCATCACTGTGATTACTGCTCCCTTGAAAGAAAAGCACCCCGTCCGCACTCACTGTACCTCAGACACCAAGAGGCCTCCTGTCGTGATAGTCCCATCCCTGGCTGGGAGCATGCCTCTACCAATAAAACCCAAAGGGAAAATGGTAACTCCACACGTCCCGAGACAAGAGGCAAGGGCGCAGGGGAATGCCTGCTCCTGGGTTGAAGTTGCTCCCTATTGCTGACTCTGTCCCCCTGTCCCAGTCATCTGTCCAACTCCTGTCCTGGGCTGACAGCTCCTCAGGAAAAAGCAGGTCCTGCATAGGAAGAAGGGACCAGTTCAGCCTCCTTCCAGCTTTTCCTCTAAAGAAGTTGGCCACCAGGGAGATGGGACTTCTCAGGAGTTCCCTTTCCTAAAAGCACCTGATAGTCTCATCTTCTCCCTTCCTGTTTCTTGTTTGGTTCTGGGTCTCTGGAACCTTGTATTTAAGTTTTTCTTTGCAAGATTGGAGTAGGAATCATCCAAGTCCAGAATCTTTAGAAAATGCAGGAAAACAGGGGCCAGGAAATTCTTCTGGCCGAGCCCAGGCTGGTGTTTAAGAGAGCTCTGCCCTTCAACCTGGGATCTCTAACTGGGGGCCTGCCTTCCTGCCTTGTCATTAGGAAATCTCTTCTGTTCGGGGGATTACAGCCCATAGCAAGGCCAGGAGGGAGGCTTTATCTCTTTGGGGTTTTATGTTTCTTCTTTCTCTCTTTGTCTGGTCCATGGATGGGCTGTCTGAGTCCCTAAGTACATCCACTTGGACCTGGAATCTACCTGTCAGTAGTGATATAGGAGTAGAGGAGACAGGGCTACAATCCAGGTTTGTATGGCTGTGCTTTAGGACAATGTGCGTATGTTTCTTAATGCAGGTGAATGTGGCTCTGTCCTATCTCTGTCTGTGTTTCAAGTGGGTATGTTTTTGGAGACAGGT